TGAGAGGGAATGGCCCCATGAAGTCCACTCCTATCATCTCCCCTGGTGCTTTGACTTCTGTAGATTGGAGGAGGCCCGCTGGCTTGTCATTTGATCCCTTGTACTGTTGACAAATATGGCAAGCTCGGACATGGCTCCAAACATCCTTGCGAACTGTTGGCCACCATGCTACCTCCAGAATCTTCAGAAGAGTCTTCATCCTTCCCAGATGACCACCAAACGGACTGTCGTGGAAGTAAGTCAGGAACTCTGGAATTAGCCTTGCGGGAACAACCAACTGGTAATTGAATCCACCATACTTAGACGGTACACCCCGGTACAACACCCCCTGCTGTTGTTGATAATGAAGACGTCCAGGTGAGTGCTGGCAGGTGGTGTGACCAAGCTCTTGGCAAAAGATGTCTGTCTGCTGAGCTTTTTCGATGTCCTGAAGCGACTTGGGTAAATCTGACCAGTAAGACTTTGCGACTGCCACACATACCCTCCCGTCCTGTGGAAAATGGGCTCGGGACAAAGCATCCGGTACTACATTACAGCACCCTTTTTTATAATGCACCCGGAAGGTGAATGCCTGTAACCGCAAAGTCCATCTGGTGAGCCGTGATGACGTTTTGGGACAGTTAAATGCCCAAGCTAGTGCACTGTGGTCTGTGTATACGTCAAATGCTTCTCCTTCAAGGTAATGACGCCACCTTTCCACTGCCCACACGACAGCCAGACACTCCTTTTCTGAGGTGGAATACCTCAATTCAGCCCCCTGGAGACCTCTTGAAGCAAACGCGATGGCTCTGTCTTCACCCTCGATTGTCTGCATCAAAACAGCCCCCAAACCCACATCACTGGAGTCACAGTGCACATGAAAGCCAGAGTGTGGCTCTGGCTGAGCCAGAACTGGTGGGGACTGCAACAGCCCTTTAAGGTGATCAAAGGCGGCCTGACACTGCGCATTCCACTCCCACTTGACCCCTTTTTTCTTGAGGTTATTAAGAGGGGCAACAATATCTGCCAGCCGAGGGATGAACTTATGATACCAGCCCACCAAGCCCAGGAATCTCTGGAGACTCTTCAGATCTGTTGGTGCTGGGTACGCAGTAATTGCTTTCACCTTTGCTGTTTCCATCTCCACCCCTTTTCCTGAGACCACATGTCCTAGGAAGGTGAGTTGAGTTTGCAGGAGGTGGCATTTTGCAACATTGAGAGTTAGATGGGCCTGATTAAGTTTTTTAAACACTGCCTCCAGGTCATCCAGATGTTGCTCCTGAGACCTGGAAAAAACAATAATGTCATCTATGTACACAAAACAGGTTCTTCCCTTCAATTCACCCAATACGCCTTCCATCAACCGCTGGAAAGTGGCACCGGCATTCCTCAGGCCAAACGGCATGACCTTAAATTGGAACAGGCCTAGGTGTGTGATCATGGCTGTTTTTTGTTTGCTTTCCTCATCCATGGCCACCTGCCAGTACCCACTCTGAAGGTCAAGTGAACTAAAATACTGTGCTCCATGCATGGACTCTAAAATTTCATGAACCAGTGGCATTGGGTAAGCATCATGGTGTGTTTTAGCATTAAGTCCCCTGAAGTCGACACAAAAACGGAGCGTTCCATCCTTCTTAGGGGTCAAAACCACTGGAGAGGCCCAAGGAGAAGTGGATGGCTCTATGACCCCATTTTTAAGCATTTTCTTCACCTGTTCCTCAATAACGGCTTGCTTTTGTGGGGACACTCTGTACGCTCTCCTCCGCACTGGCAGCTCGTCTGTAGTCAAGATCTTATGTTTTATCACGTCCGTAGCACCGGTAGCAACTGTCCAAACTGTGAACCACTTCTGCAGCAGTGGTCTAACCAGCTCAGGCTGTGCATCCAAAAGCGGAACGGAAGGAAGTTTATCACTAGCATCATCCATCACTGCCATGTAGAAGTTAATTATAGGCTCTGTATGTCCCCACCGCAGTGCTTCACGCCCCTTGGGCAAGAACCGATACTCTTTGCCCCCTGACATCACATATTTTTTCAGATGGGGCTTCAGGACAATTTGGCTTGCACACATAAAATCTAAGCCCAGCAGCAAAGGCATGCAAAGTTGGTCATCACTGAGTACATGTATGCTGACGGTTACGTGGGCATCATGAAAGGAGAGGAGCAAAGTGGTCCTTCCTATAGCTTTACTCTCTTGCCCATTTGCCATAATAAACTTTGAAATTTCACTCACACTCAGTGATTCACCTGCCTTCTTTATGTTGTTCCACAGGGTTTTACTCATCAAGGAGTACGTACACCCTGAATCAAGGACAGCATCTCCACTGGAGCCTCGGATGATTATTGGCACCACCAGGAGAGTTGGAATACCGAAAACGGTGGCCACATCCGCACTATGTCCCCGGCCTTGACCGTGTTCAGGTTTTTTGCTAGGTCTTTTAGAAGAGCGGTCTGAAGGGTGGGACTGCTGTACACGACTCCAATAATCCTTAGAGTTACTCCAATCCTTCTCAATAAGGGACCCCACCTTGACCACCTGGTCCACGGTAGACACGATGCCCCGCAGTCCACTGGCCAACCTTGGGTTGCATGCACTGAGGATGCGCCGCACAATCTCGTTTTCCTCCATATCTGGTCTCCACTTCAGACAGAGTGCTCGATGATCGTAGGCAAAATCCCGAAGGCACTGGGTGGGTGACTGCACCTGTGAGCGAAGCTGATCCTCAATCTCCGTCTGGTAGTCAGTGGGCAAGAAAGCCTCAAGGAAAGCTCTCTTGAATTCTTCCCAGTTGGCAATCTTGCCACGAGAAGCCAACCACCAGCTCCGTGCGGGACCTTTTAGAACGGCATTGAGTGTGCCTATGAGCTCAATGTCACTCAGTGGCCTGAGGGTGAGAAAGTTTTCACACTGCTCAATAAAATCAGTGACATCAGTAGAACCCCTCGACTCCCCGAACTGAGGAAACTCCATTCTAATAGGGGGTTTGGCCAAGGCTGCCCCAGTTGATGGCAGGGTGACATCCCCTTCAGACATATGCCGATTAGCAGATGATAACACGGCAGGTGTGGAGAAACTAGCTGGCCTCCAAGAGGACCGACTTTTGTTGCGAGTCTTTTCCAGTTCTTCACCCCACTGCTTATCTCTTCGCTTTAAGCAATCCACCACCACCTGATCAAATCTCTGCAGTTTACTGTCGACATACTCTTTAGCCTCCCTAACCATGGTGTCAATAGCTGCTCTGAGCCCCTCCTCCCTATTGAGTGTGCTATCAATTGAGTCTTTGAGTTGGTTTTCCAAGGTATCCACCTTTAACTGAAGTTCCTGGATCTGTTCCACCATCGATACTCCTTCAGCATCCTCATCCTCATCCCGCAGTGGTTGTTGTTGTTCTCCCGGTGGATCTAAATACAAAGAGTCCAACAAGGTGGTTATTTCTGTGACGCCACTTTGGTTATGTCTAGTGGTGATGTGACGGTATGGGTCATCTTCCTCAGGAAGGTTGTTTACTGGTTCCCAGTCTATAAGAGAAGTTTCCTCCTTTTGATGCACATCACTCACCACGTCAGTCCCCTGCTGGCTTAGGGCAGCCATTAATGGAATGATCAACTAAGCCAACAAAGGGGTGTAAATAACGTAATGAAGCTTAGGATGTGACCTACTCAAATCACTAGATGAAGGTAATGTATTAATGTGCCTTGAGTGAATGTGCAATGTACTGTTAACTGAATATATATATATAGGCTATAGATTGCGTAACCTTAGTAAGCTATATATTACTCTTTTTTACACTGCCTACAACATTTCATTCAACAGAAAAACAGAATTCTCAAAACCTGTGTGTGTTTCCCTGTTATTATTTTCTTTTCCTGTTTTCACCGTAAGTACCAAAGGTATTTGTAATAAAAATCCAGAGTCAACTACTTACACTATTTTACAGTAGGACAACCAGGTATACATTAATAACAGTCCGAAAACTAATTAATCCAGATCCCCATACGGGCCACCACTAACCACACTCTGCTTAACCTATCAAATATGGACTTTTCGTTAAGGTATAATTATTTTGAGTGTATTCCAGTGCTGATTGATGTTGTGTACGGTTTATGTAGGGGTTGATTAACGAAAGTAAGCAGGCTGTTGGCCGTATTTACCCCCAGCAGGTATCAGATCCACCCATTACCTTATGATTTGCGTGATGTATTATTCCTTTGTTGAGTTCCTCTGGCAAACATACACAGAGCCCGCTAAAACACGACCGCTTCCCCGGTTACACTCCAGAGCGCTCTTTTTTTTTTTTCCACGTCACTTCCCACTCTCCTTTTAAAACTTATGCAGTGGCAAAAACAATGAGGGAAAAACAAACACATAAAAGGAAAATCCTTATAACAATCCGTGATTACACCATAGGCATCTGATTTAACAGTTCTTACATGTGAAGGAAAAAACCCATACACACAATTATGTTTGTTTACCCACACATTAAAAGCTGTACATGAAGGCAGAATAGGTGACTATTACAACTGAACAACATGAAACATTGCTTGGTCACTGGTTGAGCTAAACTGGTATTATCTACATTTACATTTATTCATTTAGCAGACGCTTTTATCCAAAGCGACTTGCAAATGAGAACAATAGAAGCAGTGAAACTAACAATATACTGTGCCGTGACCCTTCCCAGTTTAATCTAACGCAGTCCGTGTACTTTTTTGAATTTTTAATAAAGATAATAGATCTAGAATGGAAGATAAAGTGTTAGTATTAATGGAGCAAGTGTTGCTGGAAAAGATGTGTCTTCAGCTGTTTCTTGAAGATGTGCACGGACTGTGAAACTGGGTTCTGGATACCGTTTCACACTGGCGTCATTAAATCCAAAGCATGTACAAAAGATAAAAAGCTCCTTTATTTTTTACACATCTTTGCCTCACACATTTCTCTTGAACTGATGAACAAACATGATGAAACACTTAAAACAGTAAATCTGATCTGATTCACTCATGCTACTGCAGATATCATGGTTTATTAAAACGAGTAAAATCAGATTCCTAAGCGCTCCTGGTTTCTCCACAGCCAGGCATGATAGTCGTTGAGCTTATGGTCGTCTGGCGTCACCTGCAGGACACACACACACACACACACACACACACGCGTCAGCCGTGGCACGTCACTCGTGTGATGATGTGATAAACTAACTTAATCTGGACTGAAAGACAGAAGGACTCAGGAGTATTGTTGTGACAATGACGGTAATTGTTGTAAATGTTTTTTGTTTTTTTTCAAGCATTTAATAAAAAAAATTAAAAAATAGTTAAAATAGTTTTAAAAAAGTATGTCCTACAGCAGTTTTTACCTTTCTCCACTCCTCCACACAGAAGATTCGGAACGAGTCATTGCCGTATTTCCCGATGCCGTGGAGCTCGATGGGATACCGCCAGGATTTACTCAGATACTCGTCTGACAAACGAGAGAAACGTCACACAACCATCAGACGAACACTACGCCAAACACAACACAATACAATCAATCGCAATACACTTCATTTTATATCTATGGAAGTTTGTTTCCAGAAGCAAAGAAGGTAATTGCAATTTATTAATCTCACAATTCTGACTTTTTTCTCGCCATTGTTTTTTTTAACAATGACAACATAAAAAAGGTAAAGGCACATTTTATCTCACATTTTATCTCACAAAGTCGCATATAACGTTTTTCCCCTCACAATTACGAGTTTATGACTTGCGATTTTGAGTTTATATCGCAAAGCTGTATTTATTTCTCGCAATTATAAGTTTATAACTGATAAACATATAATGATGTTTAATCTCACAATTTTGGCTATTTCTTGGAATTCGGCGATTCCTCACATTTTTTTTTTATAATGACAAACAAGCAACATTTTGTATCACACTTCTAACAATTTCATATCTCTCAATTTTGGCTTTTTTCTCACAATTGCAAGAAACAAAGTCAGCATTGTGACATTTTTTTACTCAGTGGCAGAAACAAGCTTCCATAGATATTTATTCTGAATATATATTGTGACTGATATAAATCACTACATGACAAAGCCCTACAGTCTTCACGCTGAATGAAACTACCTATGTTTATGTATGTATGTATGTATGTATATGTGATAAACTGTGAGCTTTTACAGAGCGGACGCACCAGAGAAGCGCACGAGTGTTTTGGCGCGGATCGTACTGAGACCCAGTGGCTTCAGTAAACGGGACACAGGCCTCCAGTCACTCGCTCGGGTCACGTCTGCGCTCGGGTAACGCTGGAAAAACTCCCACAGCATCGGGATCGCCATCTTACCTGGAAGAGGAACACATGAACATCACATGCACATCCATCGCCCGCTCAAACCCTCATGAACGATATCGGCAGAAACACAATATTACAACTGATTTCAAATTGGTGTCAATGCTTGCAACACCGAGGTCATGGGATCGATTCCCAGGGAAACATGAAATGATCAAATTTAATGTGTACCTTGATTCCAGTTAAAAGCTGCCAAATGCATAAATGTACACTGCAGTTTAAAAATTTTGGAACAGTAATATTGTTATATATTATTAACATTTTAAATAACTGTTTTCTAATTTTAATATATTTTAAAATGTCATTTATTCCTGTGATCAAAGCTGAATTTTCAGCATCATTACTCCAGTCTTCAGTGTCACATGACCCTTCAGAAATCACTCTAATATGATGATCTGATGATCAAGAAACATTTATGATTATTATCAGTGTTGAAAACAGTTGTCTACATTTTTTCTCAGGATTCTTTGATGAATAGAAACTTCAAAAGAACAGCATTTATCTGAAATCTTTTGTAACATTATAAATGTCTTTACTGTCACTTTTGATCAATTTAAATCATCCTTTAAATCATCCTTCATGAACAAAAATATTGATTATTTATCAATATTTAAATATTCCCCCCCCAAAAAATAAAATAAAAATTCTTACTGACCCCAAACTGTTGACCGGTAGTGCTTAATGTTACAAAAGCTTTCTATTTCAGATAAATGCTGTTCTTATGAACTTTCTATTCATCAAATAATCCTGAAATAAAAATGTACACACCTGTTTTCAACATTGATAATAAAAATTATAATAAATGATTCTAGAGCATCAAATCATCCTATTAGAGTGATTCGACGTGACGTCAGAGTGACCGACTGAAGGGGAGCATCAGGGATAGAAACAGGTGTCATGAATGTGCTGTACCGCTGGTCTTGTTGAGGAAGATGGAGGCCACCAGGAGCTTCCAGGGGTCGTGAAACAGCGTCTCCTGCACCAGATTGAAGGGCGAGCGCGGCGGAGTCCATTTCCTCAAGGCTTTGCGTTTCGGCCGGCTCAGATCTGACAGAGAAATATTTATAACTCATCATGATTCAATAAGTGTACAGCAACAATTTGTGTTCAAAAATGAATTAGAAGAGATTTTGTATGGTTACATATTGTGTGATTTTGAGTCGATGCACTGAGAGAGAGAGAGAGAGAGAGAGAGAGAGAGAGAGATACCGTATTTTTTCGGACTATAAGTCGCAAGTTTTTTCATAGTTTGGCTGGTCCTGCGACTTATATATCAAAGTGAATTCAGACTGAGATGAACCAAGAGAAAGCATTAGCGTCTGCAGCCGCGAGAGGGCGCTCTAGTTAGTTCAGAAGCGACACCGAGGATGAAGAACTCGATGTATTCAGTGATGTGGAGTGAGATCGAGAGCTTGGTGAACTTGCTTGTTGGACTCGCTGGCTTATGTTAATTCAGCCTCTTCATCCTCCCGGGTGTGCTTTATGCTATTGTGTAGCTGAATAACTGTTAATGTGTTACGTTAGCACACCGGACACCTGTTCAGCCTGTTTGCTCTGTGTGCTTGTGTAGCTGAATAACTGGCCTTTCCAGATAAATATCTGTTCTTGGTCTTGGATTTTGTGAAATAAATTTCTAAATAAATGCGACTTATATATGTTTTTTCCTCTTCATGACGCACTTTTGGACTGATGCGACTTATTGTCCGGAAAATACGATAGATAGATAGATAGACTGACAGATAGATAGACTGATAGATAGATAGATAGATAGATAGATAGATAGATAGATAGATAGATAGATAGATAGATAGATAGATAGATAGATAGATAGATAGATAGATAGATAGATAGATAGATAGATAGATAGATAGATAGACAGACAGACAGACAGACAGACAGACAGACAGACAGACAGACAGACAGACAGACAGACAGACAGACAGACAGACAGACAGACAGACAGACAGATAGACAGATAGATAGATAGATAGATAGATAGATAGATAGACAGACAGACAGACAGACATTCCAGACATTACAGTGGCTGTAGCGTTTTCATCACACAGAAGTGGCCAAATATGAAAGATTAAAGGTTGGGTAGGTCGTTTTTGGTCTAAAAAACTTTTTCCCAAATTTGTTTAAACTTTCTATATATATCAATGCATAATTAAAATGTAAGTACTCTGATAAAAAGAGTATAAAAATCGAGTGACTCTAGACCGTTTAATCTGCACTAAACACAGCTCATTATTTCCTTCCGGGACGAAACAAAGGATTGGCTTAGGCGACTGTCACTCTCTCGCAACCATGGCAACACCCCCGCTGCTACATGCGCTGCCCACATGCGCGCACTCGTTTGACTCGAGGAGGGTAAGAGACTAGTAAGAGACACATGCAAAACACGGCGTCTATGTTATGAATCTTACACAAAATTCACCTTCATCACAGTGTAACTGATTGTAATGGGAAAACGTGTATCAATGCAACCTGTTTTTAGCTTTGCTTTATGTTACTAGCTCGTTAACGAATCAAACTCAATATATTTTAAACTTTAACAGTATCGATATGCTAGCTTGATAGTGAGTATTAACAGCCATGTTAGTTGTTTATATTCATAATGATAAAGTTAGGTATTTTATTACATGTGAGTCTGACATGATGTCACTACATGCACTGCTCCTCTCCGCTCGGCGCTGGTAAGCGCGTCCTCCAGCTGTGAGCTGTCGGCATCGCACGTTCATGTGTTTTGGGGGCGTGGTTTTGGAAGGAGCCCAGAATGGAGGGGGTGGAAGTGAATGGAGATAAGTAGCTGTGTTTATTACAGCCCTGAGAGGACTACAGACACTCGATTTTTATACTCTCTTTTCCAGAGTACTTACATTTTAATTATGCATTGATATATATAGAAAGTTTAAACAAATTTGGCAAAAAGTTTAAAAAAAAAATTCTACCTACAATACCTTTAAGTGGACATTTTAATTAAATGTAGTTTCGCCGATATTAATATGTTTATATTACGTATATTGCATTATGTATTTTAACAGTGTGTTGTTCAATAAAACCATATGATTACAAGCTTTTGATACTTTATTTCAACCAGTTATTATTGTCTCATTTTATTCTATATATATTTTAAGTCACTTTAAAGGCAATTGTTCACCTAGGTGTATTTTTATTAACACACAAAAAAAATATTATCCGATTAATCATCAAATTAATCGACCGATTACTTGATTTCCAAAATAATCATTAGTACCAGCCCTAGATTTGGTGAAACATGCAAAAAATTATATTTTGTGACTTTCAGACAAATAAAAGACTACTTTTCCAGTCACATATGTCATCTTAGAAGATTTCTTAAAAATAGAGTTAAAACATCATCTCGTGAGTGAAGTGTTTCGTCACACCGCAGCCTGGGCTAAATTATGTTGCACAATTTGTCATGTTTCATTGCGTTATCACAAATAAAACGGTTGATAAAACTATTCAATATGCTTACAAAATCTTCAATAATATTTGAATAACTGGTGAGGATGTCAGTTTTCCTACGCCGGACCGCACTTCTGGCCACTACTAACCCAGACAGCAACATAGAGTCGGCTCAGATCCGGCCCACATGCGGTACGCGTCGACTCCACGTGCAGCAGATGTGGGCCTGATCTGGGCCGACTCTATGTTGCTGTCTGGGAACCCACAGCTTTCATAACGTCACGCTTTATCACAGTATCACTCAATAAAAACCTACCATTATTCCTTCTACTGAAGTACGGACTGGTTTTCCGCTTCTCTGCAAATAACTTCAACCCTACAAAGATAAAGATTACAGAGGTATTAAAAATGACCATGGTTTTACATGATTACATCCTTCCCTCTGGTAATAAATAAAAAAATTTGTGTTCATCAGAGGGGTCCAACTAAGATCCCAGGACTTTTGTCACACTTGAACCACGAATACACAAAAAAAGAAAATTGAATGGATTCGAGGAGTTTTGAGGTTGAAATTTAAAAAAATAACAAATCCTTCTCTCGCGGGTCAATTTGACCCCCTTAGGAATGAATGGTAGGGGTGTAACGATACACAAACCTGACGGTTCGGTTTGTCCCACGGTTTTGAGGTCTCGGTTCGGTTCGGTTCGGTTCATTTCGGTGGGGTGGGGGGTTTAGAAAGCTAAAATTGCTTTTATTTTTTATTAAACAGTGCTTTAATGAACAAATTGTGTCCTTGTCTTTAAATTAATTCAATTACAAGTAAACGTTTCTCAAGGATAACAAAATTATCTGCTAATGCTGTAAACTACAGCCCTTACTTGCACATTACTATAACATTAAAGCTTAACAACAGAGCCTAGACTTTTAGCCTAAATGATATAATAATAATCAACACTCAAATAACAAATTGTATGAAAACATGTAAACTGCACATAAGGCAATTTTTGCATTAACATGTTTTTATTCTAATTTGTTATTGTTATATAATAATTTACACAGTTGCTGTTATTTTCATGACAACTATTTTAAACAGACATTAAATAATCAAGATATCATAAACAGGTTAAGTAAAATATAATATATAGGCTAATATATAGCATTTATTTAGTGAAAGAGTTAGCAAACCAGCAAGCTGTGGACACTGAATGACTTGCCTGAGGTAAATATAAAGCTATGTGAAAAACTAAGCGTTTTATTGACGTATTTCCGCTGTTGAAACACTGATTGAGTGTTTACACGAGTTATGATGGCTTTCAGTAAGTATACTGTATCTTTCAACATACCTTCGGGTGTCCATTCATGTTTATTCTGTAACTGAGGAAGAGATGATCGCGCTCCGCGCTGCCGCATGCATACAGTGATATCTGTCACGCCACATCAAAGAGCGCCAAAACGGCATTTATTGTTTGCATTTCGTGATCAAATAGACATAATTTGAAAGATTACACCTTGCTTATTATCAAAAGTAACAAAACACTGAGCTTATTGCGATTATATGTGGTTAGGCAACAGCCCTGTATTCGTTGTGTACACATAACACATGAGGTGCAATGAGCCGGGGCTGGGCGGGGCAACAGGGGGCGGGGCCGCAGGGGGCGGGGCAGCAGGGGGCGGGGCAGCAGGGGGCGGGGCGTGTTCGGTTCGCCATGAGAGTATCGCGATACGTATCGTGGGTGGTGTATCGCGGTTTTTCGGTTCGGTTCAAATATCGTTACACCCCTAATGAATGGAATGCGAGGAATACTTCAGTACACATAGAAAAACATAAAAATGCTAAAACTTTACCAAAAAAATTATTGTATAATGTCTACATGTGTATCTGAATGCACACTGAACTGACTTTAGGACCCAGCGGAACAGCTCGTCTGCTCCATATAGAGCTATAAGCCCATCTAGAGTCATGAAATATCATGTGTTATTATTATTTTTCCACAAGAGGTCCGCAAACACACCCAATGTAAGATATTTTGAGCTGAATTAAAAGGGTTATGCATGCAATTGTGAGTAATTTTTTTATTTAAATTGAAAGAATGTGAGGAATGTGAGGAATGACTATTTATTTATTATTTATTGATCAAATCTAGTAATTTAAAGGTAAATAAAATAACAAAAAATAACAAAAAATTTGCATTATAAATAGAAAAAAATATTATTGAAATTAAATAAAATAAGTTTCCTGGACAACAACAAAATTAAACATCATTTTCGTGTCAATTTGACCCGCGAGGGAAAGATGTGTTACAAAGTGCGAGGGAAGGATGAGGGTTAAATGTGTCCCGATAAACGGGAGTGGTGTTCTGGGTTCATATTCATCAGGGAAAACTCACTGTTCTCAGAGTTTCTCGAAGGCGACACACAGTCTGTGTGTTTCAGGCTCTGGTTTTCCTCCTCTACTCCTCCTGTCGTCTCGAACCCATCGTGTTCTTGGCTCTCTGGAGCAGAAATGTCTAGAGTTGGGTTCAGTCGATTCACTCGTTCATCTTCCAGGCCGATCCGCTCTCCGCTCTCTCTCTTCTCGTCTCGGCGCTCGTACACGTCTTCATCTGCCGTCACTCCAGCACGGTCTTCCTCTTTCAGTGTCCTTCTCGTTTGTTGAGTTTCAGACACGGAGAAGTCGAAGTCGCTGATCTGCAGCTCCACGTTTGTCTGTGAGAGCAGGAATCTGTGCAGCTGAGTCTTGGATCGGAAGATCTTGCCCTGAGGACTGAGAGAGCAAGTCACATCCGAATCACAATCACAGTGTACATTCACACCCAATGTAAAAAAAGAAAAGAAAATGCAAATAAACAACGCTTAATAAACAGCTCAAACTACGCTTCAATGAAACGCTGTAGAAACACCTAAAGTGGAGCACCACAACACTCTTGTAGCCAATCAGCAACAGGGGGCGGAGCAATGAAGTGTTTGTTTGAGTGTTGATTTCAAATGTCAACAGCGTTTCTCAGAAATCGCTTACTGCACCTTTAAATAATCAGATTGTGAAAAAGACACTGCCTTGTGAAATCATGTAACGTTAGAGCTGGGCTTTTCAACCTTTTAGAGGGCAAATGTGATCATCTTCATGAGACAGACCCTTCCTAAGATTTAAAAGGCAGCTATATATTTATATGCAAAAGACCCAATTGAATTTATCCAGTGAAAACTATTATTATAAAACTATTATTTAGAAAATATTGATAAATCACTTTTTATTTTAATAACACTTGTTTATTTTTGAAACCCCGTGATAAAGCACGAGAGTCTCTCGACAAACAAGCTAACAAACAAACAAGCTAACCCTAACCTTTACGAATCTTTTGTTTCGAATCAGTTTTCCGGAGCGCGTCATCATATGATTCACTCGCTTCTCAGCGGCGAACCATTGAACAAGTGTCCATGGGTTTACAGTCTATGGCTTTACCTGATCTCTGATCAATTTTATACATTTGTAGACGTTTAAATGAGACATTAGTATAATTAAAAGGAATGATAACTTTAATAATCTTCCCTGTTTAGCTGAGCAATTCATAGAACGAACAAAACAACCGCTGGAAATTTATCAAATAACACATTATACAGACACCAAATGTTTAACGGTATTAGATGATTAGTTTATTGCATTTGATATATTATAATTTTTTTAATAGGTTTGTAAAAAGCTGTTTTTATGCATGTTTGGCCTGAGTTTTTATTGAATTTACACGGCTTTGGCCAGCAGGAGTCACCAGCGTTCGGACACTTCGAAACAGTGAATCAACTGATTCGAATCTTTGAAAAGCTTCGTTTCTCGCATGACAACAAACACACACACCTGATGATGTAGACATCGACTTTCCCCGCTGTTTTACCCCTTTGTCTCTCTCTCATCTCTCTCCTCCAGCCCGAGGCTCTCTGCGCCTCAGATATCGACATTCTCAAGCACACAGTCAATGCAAACAAACAGTAAATAAATACTTCGGTTATTATTTACGCTGTGGCGCGTCGTCCGTGTTCAGAACACATGATTCTCTCGAGAGCGCTGAACTGATTCAAATTAGCCGATTAAACTCCCATGACCGCGGGATAAACCGCTAAACAATTAAAAACTACAATTTCAGATCAACCCAGGATTCACATTATAGTGTAAACACTGGTATTGCTACGGAAGCTCGGAGAGAGAGTTGTGGATATACATTTGTGTTCTTTCGACACCTAGTGCTTCGGAGGATAATAACGCCAGTTTAAAAGTTTCTTTCTTGTCAATTATTTATATATAATTATCTCGATAAGTTCACTTTATACGTTTTAAGTTCACTAGAAAGTCTTTGCTTAAAAGTGTGCTAACCGGCATACATTTAGTGTGCTCTTCCACTCTGTAACCAATTTCCGTTACCAGTGTGTTAGTGGGAAAGTGGGCCAGTTAAGCTTCATAATTTCTATCTGTACATGTTTATGCTTCCATTACGAAAAATCAATACTGATTTTATTAGATTAGATTAGATAATCTAATCTAAGCTTTGGGGTCAGTGTGTGTGTGACTCGAGGAAGAGTCCATCCTGTGTTCGATGTTTCTTTCTTTCTTATTCTGTGTAGCCTAGTCTATATAGAATAGCATACTAATGAGGGGCTAAGACATTTGGATCATAATATAAAATTATGCAGAAGGTAAATTATCAGAAAGTGTCCCACTTTACCAGTATTCACCTGACAAATGTTTGGCTGTTTTCTGCTTGTTTGTCGAGTAAATCTGGTAGGAATGTCTTGAAAGCTGTTGTGTCGTCGTCCTGATCTGGTCCTGCTTCCCCCTGGTTAGTCTGTTTTTCATCGTCTCTTTAGCCCTGTGTTAAAGTGTTTAAAGTGTTTAGTGTTTAAAGTGTAGTGTTTAAAGTGTTTAGTGTTTAAAGTGTTTATAGTGTTTGCTGTGTTCATTTGTCAGGTCAGCTCCATATGGATGTTTCAGTTCGGCGAGCTCAGTTTTGTTTTTATGGGTTTCCTGTGTTCAGTTCTTTTGTTTTTATTTTTATGTATTAATCCCACCTTCTCATCTGACCCGTCACTCCACTTGAACACCATCACCCGCGTGTCAAGGGCAGGGGCGTAATTTGTGGGGGGGATGGGGGGGATATAACCCCCCCAATATTTAAATCTATGCATTACAACCCCCCATTATTTAGACCATGATCACAATATCAGGAGGCATACCCAAACTTCAACCCCCCAATGTTCAAACCAAATCTACGCCCTTGGTCAAGGGATACACACTCTCTATCAGGATATGGACATTACATATTAGCTATATTGTCTGGTTACCGATATTCTTCAAAACATCTTTTTTTGTGTTCAGCAGAAGAAAGAAACTCATACAGGTTTGAAACAACTTGAGGGTGAGTAAATGATGACAGAATGATAATTTTTAACTATTCCTTTAAGATCCACAGCATTAGAATAAATGCTTCATCTTGAAGTTCAATAAACAAACATGATTTACTCATTCCAAGGTAAAGTCATTTGCTTTACCGTTAAAATATTTTATCATGTAATTTAAAATATATAGAGCATGAGATGGATATTTTTAAATAAAAATAGTAACGTGTATTTTAAACGAAACATAATTCTAACATCTAACCTTTCTTCTCCTACAGACATATACTAACACTTGAACTAAACGAACTCTGAAGATTTGTTGGTGTTGAAACCAGTGGAAACTTTCAAATGCTGGCTAGACAATATCAAAAATATAATCCACAATAGTCTCGTGACATTTTGAGTAATCAAATGAACTTCTGACCTCTTCCATTTTTTTAATGAATTAAGATCTAAATGTGCTCCGCAGTAACAGAGGTTAGTGGAGGCTTTTGCACAGATTAAACCAGTCATATTGAAGGAAGGCGAGTAATAAGCCACGTTAATCTTGCTGTTATACATGTCTCTATCTTCTTTTTTTTTGCTGAAGTCTGTGGTTATTACTGCGCAGAAAGTTAGTTAGTGGAGCAAGTTAACAGATTAGTGAGACACTAGACCTTATGCCCGAGTGATAGTGTTCAAAAGAAAACGAGACGTCGTTCGACTCAGTGTGAGACTCTCAGGTGGAGTTAGATGCGCTCAGGTTACTATACTATAGGTGTGTGTTCAGAGTAGCTAAACCATCGCGGTCAGAGGTGAACTCACCTGAGGATCTGCAGGTGTCAGGGACACTGGGTTAAAGCTCAGGAGTGAAGGGGAAATCTCACACAAACACACTAAATCATCCGATCAGAGGAAGTCTTAGTTTCAGGTTCAGGTTTAGAAAAAACATTTGAACAGATTTGGAGTGGTTTGAAAGTGAATTTTGCAAAGTATATTGTTTTTTGACCCACTGGAATCTTTAAAGAAATCAATAAATGGGCCCAATTTTCGACAAAATAAATAAATAAACGAACCTCATTGGGAAATTTCCCACATGGAAATTTCAATTTAATATTTGTGATTTATTGAATATAGTCAAATAGTTTTGTGGCACTGTTCTTTTTACCCAAATATTTTCTGTTAAAGTTACACAGATATATTTATTTTACCTCCAAAACACTATTGTATTGCGTTTAATTAACTTAACCTTTATAATTTTCGACTATACTTAATTATCAATCGTTAAACTAATGTAAAGGGTTTAATTTAGCGATGCAAAAAAAAAAAAAAAAAAACGATGTGCTGATTTCCAACATATTGGATGAAGATGATGTGCGAAGAAGGTAAAGTTGTGTGGTGTCAGAGGTAGAAGTCAGACAGGTAAGAAAATATAAAGTTAATCTAAAGGCAAAGTCTTTAATTTCTGTTAGTATTTCGTAAAGTCTGTTCTGGGATGCTTTTATATTCCACAGAAGAAGAAAAAAATGTTGGCTGCTTTTTCAAATTTCTTAATTCAAATGAGCTTCAGCAAAACAATTGCTATACATTTTGTCCAAACTTAATTCGATTGTGTTCAATCTGCTTAAATATATGTACAATTTAAATTTACTTAATCCATTTGTGTTGGATTACATGAATGATTTGTGTTGTGACTGAAACTGGGCGGTGCTTGTTAGTTCCCAGCATGCTTTGCATATAGCTGAATTAAGAGAGAATAAATGTTGAAATTAAGTGTTATTTTATGTGTTTTTGAGAAAATGAGAAAAGAGGAAGACTTTATAGTGTGTAATTGTGTTTAATGTTCAATTACATTGGAATTATTAGAACCATTTAAATTACAGTGTGGAGAAGAGTGGAGCATGTGGTCAGGCTGTGGACTGATTCAATGAGTTAAATTCATATGGCTGAAAGAGCATTTAGATTTTAGCATTTAATATGTTATTAAATGCTATACTAGCTAATAGCTATTCTATAGTCTAGAAGTTCAATTGAATATCAAGTGATTTAAGCTTACTTTATTCTTTCAGTGCAGTTTTAAATAAAGCATGTTCACTAAACTTAACCAGTTTAAGTTACAGGGAAGCAATTCCATTGTTTGGTTGGACACTACTATTTTACATTGATTCTTTCTCATTCAGTTATGTTGTCACAACACAAGGAGCTTACATAGATTTTAAAAAACCCATTAATGTTAATATAAAATTATTTGCTTGTGTGGAACCACTGTCCATAATTAAATTGAGTAACTTTAAAGAGTATTTTTTTTGAGAGTGTGTGTGTGGCAGTGTGTGGCAGTGTGTGTGTGTGTGGCTGTGTGTGTGTGTGTGTGTGTGTGTGTGTGTGTGTGAATAGCACGAACAACTCTCAACCCTCACTAATAATTTCTGCAACTATCATCAGTGGTGTTTGTAAGCAATGATGACCATGTCGTGCGACTGGGAGATTTAAATGGCAAATATGATCCGGCTAGTTTTTGAGTGGCTTCAAACACATGCAGTTTGGCTACAGCGAGTCTCTGAGCGTTATATACTCATTTATTCTTCTTAGCTAAAAGTTAAACTTAGGAGACGCAATAAGTCTGATGATAATTGTGTGACATGTTTATTGTGCCTTTTGATGGAGGGTTGATCTGCACTGAAGCTGGAGCAAAGCAGCGGATCCATCCTCCCACGTCTCTGAATCTCCCCGTGAAGTAAAGGCTGATTAACACACACCACATGGACACATCACATAACACACACCCCATGGACACATCACATAACACACACCCCATGGACACATCACATAACACACACACCCCATGGACTCCTGCTCCCTTGAAGCCAGAGCTTCTGAAGTCCTGATGTCTGCGGCACATTCATATACACTGATGATGCTTTCACACACACACACACACACACACACACACACACACACACACACACACACACACACACACACACACACACACACACACACACACACACACACACACACACACACACACACACACACACACACCAGAAGTGTCTGAAAATAAGAATATTTCTTGTGAATTCTGTCCTCCGATCTCAGCTTCCTCGGTAACACTTTACAATAAGGTTCATTATAATGTATTTACTAACATGAACACTACATTTGTTACAGTTTTTATTAATCTTTATTAATGTTAGTTAATAAAAATACAGCAGTTCATTATTTGTACATGTTAGTTCACAGTGCATTAACTAATGTTAACAAATACAACCTCTGATTTTGATAATCTATTAGTAAATGTGGAAATTAATATCAACTAAGATTAATAAATGCTAGAAGTATTGTTCATTCTTAGTTCATGTTAACTAATGAACCTTATTGTAAAGTGTCATCGCTTCCTTCCACCGCTACACTTAAAACACACTGGCATATTTCTAAACAAGACTTAATTCACTATGACCTTACGGTAGATTTTATCCGCAAGCTTATGTTCTCAAGACAAGGATATTACAAACACATCAGGTTCTGTATCTTTTCCATGCTGTTTTATGAATTTATCTCTTTATTTGCATTAATAACCCATGAAAGGATCCAAAAGGGGTGATGATGCCGTAGAAGAAGCGTTTGAGGAACCTTTCACTGATCAGTTATTAAAATATCCACTTATTTTAATAATCTAAAGAACCTTCTGTGCAATGGAAAGATCCCATGGTTGTAAAAGTTCTGCATTGAAGAATAAAGTCCCTTTATTTATGAATATAGCCTTAAAATACACTGCCTTCTTCAGCTTATATTGTTTTCAAGGCATATTGTCTTGGTGTCTGTATCGTTTCCTATAGCTTATATATAAGTGACCAAAAAAGCCATTTTAAAGTAGTTTTAAAATATGTAAAAACTGATTGTGACAACGATCTGTTCTTCCTCGTGATTGTTTGTACGCTCAAACCCAATAAACAGACATTCGCAATTCGAAAGCATTTTATTGTACAACATCATTGTCATTTATATGCTCTTTATCAATATAGAACAAAAATAAATCATGAAAATGTACAGGTCAGGTCATGCAAGAACTAAGCTATCGCCTATACCGTAGAAAAATATTCGGTAACCCGTTTCATTGTTTTGCGAACCAAATTAAATGAGATTTACAGTGGAATGTCTTTGGAGGAGTTTTCTGATCACATGCATTAGTGAAATAATTCTCAAAATAGACCCAGTGCAAGAACAATGGGGATCTAGCTCGGCCAATTAAGAACAATTAGTTTGAGACAAAAGAAAAACAAAGTGTATACGGTGTCGCGCGCACAGCGGGTTCACGCGCACATCGGTGAAGAAACGAACAACGAGGCACCAGGACGCAGTTAAAGGAGATTGTTTTTCTTTTCTTTTTTTCTTCGAAAACACCCTTTACTTTAACGAAATGAGAAACGCAGTAAAACACATGATGCGTTTTCCATGAATCGGATGCGGTGGAAAGCAACGCACACACACTTATTCATCCGTTTTATCCAGTCCGATCTCATGAAAGTGTGTATCTATAGCACGAATTGTATTTATCGTGCAATTTATACGCAAAAAAATAGTTTTTACGTGCATTTGATACGCAGTTTTCGCTATACGCACTTTATGGCGTGTTATACGCACTTCACTCATCCTGCAAGCGCAAGGGGTTTACAGTGCGTATGCACATTTCTTGCGTATAAATTGCACGTTAAATACAATTCGTGCTTTAGATCCGCATTTTCATGAGATCGGGCTGAATGAGAAACGCAGTATGGTGCGTTTTCCATGAATCGGATGCTGGGGAAAGCAACGCACACACACACTTATTCATCCGTTTTAACAACATTTCAGCATCTTCTTCACACAGTTACTCTTGTTCCGTCAGATCGGCCTCTAACTCGAAGCGTTTCCCGGGATGCTGTCGCTTCTCCTCAGCGCGACTTTTGTTGGCGTTATCCAGAAGCTCGAGTAGGATACTAGCTTGCCCGCATCCCGGCTCATCCCAGTCCTCACACAGTCTCTTCCCGGGATGCTGACGCTTCTCCAGCTCCGAAAAGTCTCCGTCGTGCTGTAGCTCGCGCCGGCCGGGGTGCTGTCGCTTGTGGAGCAGCATCAGGTACCGTTTCCCGGGATGCTGTCGCTTGGAGAGCTCGGTCTGCACGCTCGGTTCCTCCAGGATCATCGGCTCGTCTAGGGATAGTCTTTTCCCGGGATGCTGTCGTCTCAGCCTCGCGCTCTCCTCGTCCTCGCGCTTGCCGGGATGCTGTCTCTTCTGGAAAACTGGAGCGTCGTCTTCGTAGTCCGCGTAGTCCTCGCGCTTGCCGGGATGCTGACGCTTTCCCGGGTGTTGCCTCTTCTCCATCCGGTCTGTCGGGGACTCGAGCTGCTCTCCTGGAGAGGGACAGGGATTTACGCACGTGTGTAAAACTTTAGAAACAGTTCTGATCGTCTTTCTCGAGGATGATGCATAAATATGGAGAAAATATACACTGTAAAAATGTCAGGTCAGGACGCTACAAATGTGCAACTTTATGCTTATGTTCTATTTCAATTGTGATTATAAATGCATCCCCCCCCAAAAAAGGAAAAGTGTAACTTTATTTGGTAACGCTTTATTTTGTGTTCTTGTTACACATGTTACATGTAGCCTACTTTGAAACTTTAGAAACAGTTCTGATCGTCTTTCTCGAGGATGATAAATAAATATGGAGAAAATTACACTGTAAAAATTACGCTACAAATGTGCTTGAGTTGTGATTACCGCTTTTATTTTTCATTTTTCTTGTGATTATAAATGCAAAAAAGGGGAAAGTGTGTTACATGATAATAATAACTATAAATTATGCAACTACATGCAGTTTACCCTAAGCTAGCCCCTAACCCTATAGTAATGTAATTATACATGCAATATATAATTAACAACATGTACTTAAAGGGTTAAGAGTATGGTTTGGTTTATGGTATGTTGCATGTAATTATACATCATTTACTGTTAAGTAAGTGTAACATGTTACAAGAAAACTGTAAATTAAAGCGTTACCCAAAAAACTCTATTTAGGTTACACTTTATTTTAAGGTGTTTTTGTTACAGTGTAATTATGCATGTAATATTAGGTAACTATATATGTATAAGTTTTGAATAAGGGTTTGGCATGTAATTATGCATCATTTACTGTCATTACTAAGTACATGTAACATGTGTTACAAGGACACTGATAAAGTGTTACCAAAAACGCACAAACTGTATTTATTGCCGATTTGTTACATGTAATAAACAGATGAATCACTGTTTGCTTTATGGGTTTTACTTAAATTTTTTGGGTTGAACAATAAACACCATTTGGTGTGTTCTTTAGAGAATATAGTTTATAAATATAAATGTAATAATAATAAGCATTATAATTATTACTCTGTCAAAATTCTATGAGAGTTTAATCAGAAGTTATGACAACATATGTTTTTACATTGCTTATACTCATCAATATAAGTTCTGAAGTCATTTTAATGTAATTTAAGTTGAGATTACTTAAAAATCCAAATTGATTGTACATAAAAATTTAAGGCAGCAATATATATATATATTGTTTTACAGTGCCTTTGTTAATAATAAAGGTCAAAAATATAAATTCAGTGTTATATTTTTGGAAAAGTGGTCTAGTGAAGTTATTACTGTGGCAAAAAGCAGAACAAAACAATAATTAAATATAATCCGACATTCAAACATAGAAAAGCAATGATTAAAAGGATACATCTTCGGTCGATCTCTATGAAGTGTCATACTATGTGTATATCGCAGTCGCTTTATTACTATGTTTATTCGTTTATCTGCTATTTTCACTCTCAGAAAAAAGGTACAAAAGCTGTCACTGCTGATACGCTTTCAAAAGGTGCATCTTTGTACCTAAAGTGTGCATATTAGTATCTCAAAGGTACATATTGGTACCAATAGTGTAGTACCTAAATGGTACATATTAGAACCTTTTGAAAGGGTACAGTCCCAGTGACAGCTTTTGTACCTTTTTTCCTGAGAGTCTTTTGTACCTTTTTCTTTCTTTCAATTGAAAGTACCTATATCTGTATTTTAGTTCTGACAGTGAGCGTGAATGTAAGCCGGCACCGTTGTCGTTGTTCTCGTCCTCCATCTGAGTGAGGATTGAGCGGATGAGGAGAGTCTCGGCGCGCTGGAAGAGTTCATCCAGAGACGGGTCGCTCTCGCCCGGCAGATCCTGACACTGGAGGACCGTCAGAGAGGCCAAGATGATCACACACACCGCCCTCATGACAACCTCTGTCCTGCTCACAAACACACCAACACACCGGCATATGACATACGCATAACAACACTGTGAAACGTGATCAGGGGACTTAACTTCAAGAAATGAAGGAAACCCGTTGCCTTAAAATTATCAATAAACTTCATGCTTAGCCCATAAGACTATCAGCAACTTTGCTGAGCATTCAAATACGATTTACGAAGAAAAATCCTGGGGAAAATAAATGCAGAACATGTTCACTATGAACACTATCTTAACACGACTATATGCATGAAACCATTCAGAAATATTTGAGCACAAATGGGTCAATCAAAAAATTTAAGTAATGTGGAATTGTCAAGTTCACATAACTTAATTTTTTTCATTTAAGCATTACGTTTATTTCCTTAATAATTTTAAGGCAACGAGTTTACAAAAACATTTTAAGTAAGTGAACTGAACATGTTTTACAGTAAAGTAACAATTCTAACTCAAAGAATACCATGTCAATACTCTTAGAAGTGAAGATCCTTTACTGGTTCCATGAGCTTTACAATGGAAATTTTACTTTAGATCATTAAAGCGTTTTCCACACTGAGAAAACATGTTCTTTTAAGAACTGTTCACTGAAAAACTAGTTCATCTAGCATTGGCATCACTGCAAAACCTCTCCTTGCTCTGGTACCTTTATTTTAAGAGTGTTTGTATGAATATGATCATGCATCAAAAAGGTACAAAATCTGTCACTGGGACGGTACCCTTCTAATATGTACCATTTAGGTACTACTATGTACACTATTGGTCCCAATATGTACCTTTGAGATACTAATATGCACACTTTAGATACAAAGATGCACCTTTTGAAAGGGTACCACCCCAGTGACAGCTTTTGTACCTTTTTTTTGGAGAGAAAAGTACATATAAAGTTGCTTTAATCCTGGTCTTACCTGCAGCCGATGGTTAATTCACCTGTTGCAGAATACCCGTCGATGCTGGAACCTGAAGATGCTCCTCTGGTGTGTGTGTGTGTGTGTGTGTGACCCGTTCAGGCCGAGGTCAGTGAGTGAAGCGTGAGACTCGCGCGCGCGTGTTTTATAGGCGCTCGAGACTGTGACGTCACGCGTGCAGTGCGGGTTTGCCCCTGAGGGGGGCAGTATGATGCTATCGAGACTCGGTTCATTCATAAAACTGCTTTTTTTAGTTTCACAATAAGTAAAGGTAGGTGACAAGAGTAGGTCTTATAGCATGGCACTTTGATGTGTAATAGATAATTGACATATTCATACTTTCCGAGCTATTTTTTACAATTTTTTATTGAATATTGCAGTGTAATGATATATATCGATGCACATCGTTGTTTTTAAATTAATGTTGAATCAGAATAAGTTCCTCTTGCAGCATCTCTTCTCTGATGACGAGGGCGGGGCTATAACCTGTCACTCACATGAGATCGGCCAATAGCAAACCACAACCATCCAATCAATTCCCCACAGACACAATCAAGCCCCGCCCACATTTGTTCTTGTTCGGGAAGCGTTTTACTCAGGACACAATAGAGGAGAAAAGACGAACACAACTTCTGGAAACCTAAAGTAAGTCTCACTTTTTCAGAATTTTATTGCATTTGATAATAAAATATCAATCTAAATGTCTTGTGCACACAAATGCTGCAGGATCTTCTGTTTCTTCAGTAACTATGAACATAATCCTCAGTTTCACAACCACATCCCTTGTAAAATGTATTTGAAATACATTTTATGCTAAGTATAAATACATTTACATATTTATACTTAATATTCAAACCCTGCAATTGTACTTTAGTTATTCGGAAATAGTGCTGAAGTTCAACTAAAGATATACTAAAGATAGCCTATATTTGATAGTGCTATAGTGGAACTATTGCAAGTATACTTTAGTTACACTTTTAATATCTCGCATTTAAATATTTTATACAGTGGTCATGCTATAGCCTACTTACTAATAAACACATTTTTGGCTTAATATTAAGAACTGTGCATTGTGCAATAAAGAGGAACTCCAAATAAAGTTTAATTATAATATTTCTATCAGTAAGTCTCAAGCAATATGGCAGTAAATATGTATTTATATGGATTTGTAGTATACTTAGTAAGAAATAAATACATTTTGGTATAGTTTTATTTCACTAGAGGTAGCATAATAATTTATCATGCTTTATACAGTTTATATGCTTTTATAGAATGGGCTTTGCACTGCATATTCAATAAATGGTACATTGTGGTAAGAAATAGTCGTCATACTTTTGGTAGCCTACTTGTGTGTGTGTGTGTGTGTGTGTGTGTGTGTGTGTGTGTGTGTGTGTGTGTGTGTGTGTGTGTGTGTGTGTGTGTGTGTGTGTGTGTGTGTGTGTGTGGAGTAGCCTCCGTCAGTAACACACTCGAGCTTTGACTAGTTTGCTCTCCTCTACCAACTAACATGACGTTCATGGAGAGCGAGTGTTGCGTCACTTTCTCTCTCCTGAAGAAGCCCTAATTTCCTTTCAGAGGCGTATAACGGCCCGGGAACTGATGGTCTTATTCTTTAAAGCAAACATCATTCCTCTAAGCCTCACTGAAATCATTATCTACAGCTCACATCATTTCAAAATCTCCCGAAGTCTCGTACAGTCGCACAGCTGACGGCTTGAGGGAATCACCGTGTAATGCAATAAATCAGGCGTCTTTATGCGCTGTCACGTCCAATACTTCATCTGTCAATACCAATCACTTCCCATGGATAGTGGAAAAATGAAGTGGAATTAATTGGGTTATATTTCAGGAGGACTTTCTGCGCATGAGATGACATGAACGTAAGAAATCAGTCTGTGATCGGCATCCCTCCCTGAATTAACCACGCAATAACCATAAAACATGTTACAATCAAAAGCATCTGTTTGTCTTTCTTCAAGGCCTATACATACTTTTAAGATTTGTCAAGCCAACATACAAAGTTTGTCTTAACAAACTTTCTTTGAGTGTTCTAGCGGCGGATTGTGGCTTTCTACACCTACTCATGACATAGTCACACACACACACACACACACTGACCCAAAAGGTCACGCTGTCAGCCACTGTCAGGCTATAATTACTGCTTGAACGTGAACACACACAGACACAGACACACACTCACACATTTGTACTCACAAATTCACATTAAAATACAGTCAGCCGGTTTATTTGTGCAAAACTCAAAGGGAAAGCAAGAAACACCAGAGGGAGGAGAAACGTCTTGTTCAGACATAATGATCAGTGGATGTTTTGTTCTTTTCTTTGGGCGTTTAATCGTTTAGTCTTAGTTGACACGATAACTTGCAAATGTAACTGATGCTCTGTTTTGCCTCTGATCATTTGTTGGGGGAGTGTGTGTTCCTGTGTGTGTGTGGGGGGGGACTCGTGAGGTTGAGGTTCCCATGGGTAAACAGTCCTGTTACCCATGTACATACTATGTACTTATTATAGTAATTACAATTACTGGGTAATACTAACCCTGACCCTTATATACCTTATATTCGCCAGTACTTTCTAGGTAAGTACACTGTAAGTACACGTAAGCACTGTACTGTAAAAGGAACCGTTACCCATGATATTCATTACATTTTCTGCTTTTGAGTTTCGCATAAGAAAAAGTCATACCGGTCTGGAAAAACATAAGGGTGAATAATTGAATAAATGTTTGGGTGAGATGTGCGAGTAAGGGTTAGGGTTGGTGTCTTTTATCATATTACTGTGGCGATTTTACCATGCATAAGGAATGTTTTAAACTGTGGTAAAATCCCTCTAGCACAGCCTTGAGCGACTTGCTTTTGTATTGAAATTATATCATGCTCTGCGTAATATATGCTGATACTGAGACTATCTAAATAAAGGTCTGTAAAGATGTAAGGAGTAGATTTCACTGCTGATTCGGATGTGCTTCTGGGTTTGTTTATAGCTCTGATTAATTTAATTCTGAATGTCTTAACAGAGCTCAGAAAACATCAACATCTCTGTGGGTCTTCGTGCTTCAGTCCTGCTACTTTCTTTCCTGGAACATGCTGGCTCAACCCTTACTGCGTATATTGGACTCCCACATTAAACCTGCACATACAGCACGTGTCACTCCAATCCTCCACTGCACACTTCAGACTCACAAACACTGAGAGCTGCTCGAAATGAGGAAGAGTTGTGATTACCACTGAGATCTAGTCATGGAATATTACTGCAAGCAAAAAACACTGCATGTAGAAAATATTTAATTTTTGGGGCCTTTATAATATTATTAATAATAACAATAGCCTAATAATAAGTATAATAATAATATAACAATATGAAATAAAAAGACATGATCAGTAAATGGATTTGGAAGGCTGTGGGATGGGATTACATTGTCATCCTTAATTCAAAATAAAATATGAATTTAATAATAATATTGATTTCTGATAATCCCAGGTTGCTATGGTCATAAGGGTTTGTTTATGCATTAAATGCATGGCCATGTGAAAAATGTTGTTCCCTCATGATCTGTAGGTTCCCTCACATCGCGTGGCCACAACATAAGGATCGTGGCCGCATGACAAAACTAAGTGAACCAAACATGTCCCTCCCGGTCACCAAACGCATTCTCATCCCAAGGCGTCATATACTGACGCTTTTGCCAAAGCGTCTACATCCGTCGCACATGGCACCCTTTAGCGTCAATATAACACGCTTCGGTTATGGGTAGGTTTAGGTCTGGGGTAGTGTTAAGGTTAGACCACTAGGAGGCGCCATATATCTGCGTCTCATATGACGCTAAAGGGTGCCATGTGCGTTGGATGTAAACGCTTTGGCAAACGCGTCAGTATATGACGCCTTGGGATGAGAACGGGCTGGGTCACCATACCAATGAAAAATTTCTCCTTAAAGGGGTCATATAATGCCATTTTCATAAAGTTAATTTGATTATTTAGGGTCTAAATTAAAAGTTTGTAATATACTTTAATTAAAAATTCTCATTAGTATTGTAAGAAAACACTTATTTTACCTGGTCAAAAACAGCTCTGTTTTCAGCACGCCGTTTCAGTGCATATGCCTTTAAATGATAATGAGCTTCGCTGACTCCGCCCCTCTGTTCTGCCGGCGTTTAGACACAACGCACGTGAAGTGTTGCCTTGACAACAGTTGAGGGTATATTTTGGAGAAAGAATGGCAGCGGGAGTCTCTGAGGACACATCTGTGCAACCGTATCAGTTTGAGCCGGAGTCGGACCGGGACAAGATGACGGCCGCAAAGAAGTTCGACAATTAAGGCTCGAGCAGGACGTTTCTGAATGGTTGGTTAACGTAATGTCACTTTGTATGTACTGGCAGGGTAACGTTAGAGAAACTTAGTGAGATGTACGAACGCTATGTGTTTACTGATGTATACGTACTCAGTTTGTAATAACACAATAACTGTAACGCGTTGTTCATTATAAACGTGGGATTATGAATTATATTGAGAACGTCGTACATAGAAAACATGCCGTAATGTAACGTTACCCTGAGTGTAAACCTTAGCCGCATTCATCGTGAAGTGTACAAGCGATTTGCAAAGATTAATATAAAGGTTAAAGGGGTCATATAATGGTACATGCACTTTTACAAGTTGATTGTACTGAAATGTGTGTTGGCAGTGCCTGTACACAACCATCATATAATGATAAAAATCCATCCAGTGGTTTTGTTTTAATCTCCTTATATGTTTTCCCCTGCCTCAAATCAAGCCGTTCGACCGTGTGACGTCACACGCTCGGACGCCCCTCCCACGATTGTTGATTGACAGCAGCGTTTCAACACAGACCCGCCCTCGCTCGTGAGCCAGCTGTCAATCATAGTCTGCGCGGACCGGCGCGGTCATTGTTGATATGCTGGAGCTGTCTATGAGCAGAATGGCGTCTAAGCGATTGTGGTGTTCTGTTCTTGGGTGTAATAACGAACAGTCATTTTAATGTTCCTAAATCCGAACCGCTGAAGACGCAGTGGCTGAGTTTGTTTTCGAAGGGAATATTCCCCACGAGCAACGTCAATGCTCTCATGTTTGCGCGAATCATTTC